GGGTGGGGGGAGAAAAGAAACGACCCAGATTCATATCCTGAACACAGCATTCCTGAACTAGGGTTGTCTGATATGTATCTATGGTCCTCGGCTAAATCCTACCACAGATAAGCATAAGATCACGATTTTTAGTCGCTAAAATCACCACACAGTGCAGGGGGGGGGGCTTAACCCTCGGTACACCATGGACTTTCCAGGGGCGGTGGCCAACACTTCAGTAAATGTCACAACCTACTGAGGTTCACAACATTGTGGGCACAGTACTATCAAATATTATGTGACATAGAATATAAACGTACTAGAGGCAGAATCCATATAAAAATTTCTACGACTATCAGATTGCATTCAAAAGGACCAAACGACATCACTTAGACAAAGTAGGAGACAACTGTCACACACAACATAAAACGAAAAATTGGAATTTCAAAATATATCCCTCACCCTTCGACTTTGAGTCCTCACCCTCAGAGCTCCCAGGAGCCATGCGCCAGGGCTGCCTTGGGGACAATCTTACACATACACCACTACATACTAAGGCGCCCATTCAGTGTGTCGGACAGTACTGCCATAAGCTGACAAAACAAGCCTTTTTTTCTTCACAGCAGTTTCAAGAAAAAGAGGGGGCGGCGTTTGTCAGCGTAGCCATTTCAAAATAGAATGATTCCGAAATTTGAAATCTAATCTATTAAAAAAATAGTCAGAGTTTCACTTTGAATTTTTTCACACAAGTAGGATAACTGATCGGGCTTTCGATTTATGTCAAATTTTGGCGCCAAAATGAAAACGCGTTTTGTCAGCAGATGGCAGAGTAAAAGTAGCGTGTGCCGAGGCTTGCACTCGGGTTCACAGGATATTAAAAAAACATTCTCGAGTGAAAACAAAACATCAATCGTTGAACCACATTTGATTTTGATTGTCTTAGCCGAAGAGCACCATACCTCCATTGCCATATACATACACCTCAATGATCATATGTTGCACTCCATCACTTTGAACCATCCAACCAACAACAACACCTCACTAGCAAGACAACTAAGACAACTTCATTGACATAAATTAACATGACATTTAAGATAATCGAGATACACCTCACAGCACAACAACGTTGCCCACAAATCCACAGCATCACGAGCGAGGACGGTCAACACAAGTTCCCTCTAAAAGTGGAACCAACCCACAGACATTATATTCAACGAAAAAGCACCAAAGAAACCGTACTGAGGGTGAAGTGAAGTGAGCACACAGCAGAAAAAAAATATGAAAAAAACAAAAAAAAACCCCTTCTGTGTTGTGAGGAGCTCAACAAAACACATACGAGTTGTTGTAGGCAAACGCTCCATCAACCTTTCAATAAGTACACGTGAAGTAACAGTAACCTAGAAAAATAACAGTTTCATCGACGGAAGGATCCCATGACTTCCCAACAACCTAATGAAGGCTACCAAACTAATTGTAGAGCCTTGTACACTCAAAGACAATAGTTCTTTTAGTTTTCTATAAATCTGCATGTTTTTTTACAGCAAGTATTGATATTGCCTAAATGAAATAATAATAATAATAATAATAATAATAATAACAATAAAAATAATAATAATAATAATAATAACAATACAGTGGGTGGGGGAGAGACATGTATTTGTACATGTGTTTTTTTGCTTTTTTTCGTTCCTGTTGAGAACAATTCTTCTTTTTTCCTTGACTCTGTATTTCTCAGTTATTATATACGTTCAATTATTCAATATGCATCATCTTTCAATAGGATATCCTTCTAGTGTGTCAGTGAAAAAAGAAAAATGCAAAACTTTAACATTTTTAGATTGATTTTGAATTTGGAGAACTACATTTTTTTTCCATTAAAAAAAAATGTTTCCATAAGCAAAAAATATAATGTCTTGAATTAAAATAAACCGATTTGACAGTAGCCAATGTTCAGGAAAGGGGATGGATGGTGGTAGAATGAGGATAACAGCAGGATCAACAGGCACTCAAGATGTGTCCAAATAATCCAAATGGCAATTGTTTGTGTAGTTGGCACCCAAAGGCTGAAAAGGATAAAACAAACTTGGGTTGTTCTGTTCCTAACAATGAGGATGATCTGCCTATTCCACTGGCATGCTGGGTTTTTGGTGGGTTTTTTTTTTTTAAGTAGGGGTGATTTTTGGTGGATTGACTCGTGGACAGACTGAGTTGACCGTTTCATTGTATATTCCTCTAAGCTGGCGCTCAGGAAGACATGCACAGTGGCAGCTTGTGAAGTGCTCAAACATTATCACTCACACAATTTCCCTTCTCGAACCCCCTTTTCTTTAACTCTTTATCTCCATGGGGGGGGGGGGGGTAAACCCACTATGCTGAGGCCCGCTTTTGGTGCTTAATTTGAAAATGACCAAAACGTCGCTAAATTGGTCATTAAATCAAAACAAGTGAACCTATTTCGATAGTACTTCATCTAAAGAAAGAAATCCCAATAAAAGAGACCTGTTCTTGGCAATTGGTGAAAACTAATTTGATGTCGAAGTCGTCGTAAAGGAATGTGCCCGAGCCGCTGTCAGCTGCTCACCGGCACAGCAATTCCGACTGCGAGCCACTTGGAGCGGCTCGCTGGAGATGAAGAGTAAACCCGCACGCGGCTGGTAAAACTGATCAAATTCGTGTTTGCTACTTTCCCCCATAGATGCGAAACTTCCCACATAACCGAACTGGGGATCAAACCAACAATCTTACTACTGTAAATAATCTAACATCCTAACGACTAGATCGTGATGCCCAAACAGGAAAAAAATTGAAAGCACACAAGCAACTGCGCCTGAATACTAAGGGAACTTCATTCAATGTGTCTTAAGTGTCAATACAACCCTCTAGGCATTGACGGTGACGTCATTGGTCCGACAAAAGAATGCCCCATGGACGTCGGAACCGATACATCAGTCGATTAACCCGTTCACAACAGCTCCCGTATATGCACATGTACTTATACATCCAACATCACAAGCCAAGAGGCAGTACTCTCATAGTGCATCCACAGACGTGACTTGGCTCATAACACTGAATGTAGAGTAACCAAAATTCTACCCGCTCAAAAACAAAGATCCAGTGTAGCTAGAAGCCTCGTTAAGGGTCACTAAATTATCAAACAAGTCAAGAAAACTGGGCAAATATCTTATCATTAAATAAATGCTCACATTCATGTTCAGATAGACAGTATCAACTACAAAACAGACTACTTCAGCCTTTTCCATGACCCAGTCCCAGGATGTCATCTTTCCACAGACCAGCCCCACAAAAAAATGGTTCAAGTAATCAAGACTATACTCCATATCCTCCGATTCTACATGACCCATGAGCCTGGTCAAGTTCTGGTTCACCTGCTCAATTCCAAACCAGTTTAAGTCCCTACACAAGCATTACACAACAATTTGTGAGAATATACCCCAAAAAATTAATAAAATAACCCCCCTAAAAAAAACCCATTATTGTTGGCACATGAGAGCGTCAGACAAAGTTCTCGTCGGTGTGTGAACACATGAGGAAGGAGTCCATGAGCTGTGGCAGAACCAGCTGCTGGTAGTCCAGGCTGGAGATTCCCTCGCGGCCGTACAGGGCACACACTTTTCTCAGGGCAGCCTGGGGAGGGGGGGGGGGGGGGGGGGGGGGGGGGGGGATGTGTAGGAAGGGGGATGTGGGGGGGGAGGAGGGGAAGGGAATGTAGGGGGGGGAGAGCACAAAGAACAGAATGAAGGAGAAGTTTATTTATATAAGCAAAATGACTGAACAGTAACCAGTCACATATCAACATACACATATACAGTCAAAGCTGTCCAATGGCGCTCATATGACCTTATGCACTTGCGAGCGCCGTAAAACCCTCTACTATAAAAAAAAGTTTTTAAAAAGCTGTCCAAGACAATCATCCATTGTCAAGGAGAAAAGTAATCATCTTAGACAGGTAGTCCTCTTGGACAGTGTCAGTACAGTATGGGGAAAGGGGGAGGGGAAGGGCCTCGGGGAGCTGGTCTCTTGCACAGGTGATTGTCTTGGACAGTTGGTCATTTGAACTGGACTAACATTACTCACTGTACTAATCTAACCACTAAACAAACTGATGGCTATGTAGGAAATATTATCCTAGGCCGCGCAGAAAAATTTCCTTCTGTTAACTGTAAAAGTTTCATATTTTTATGTTAAATAGCCATGGCCCATAGCAAAATCCAAATGACAAAATCTGAAAAAAGTACAAACAGGACATCCATGCCCCCGCCTACGTTTCCTATGAATGTCTCATCACAAAACAAGACCAGCATGTTACTTACCAAACAAGCCACTAAAACTGCATCGCTGTTGTTCCTGGCCTCAGCCTCCCGACACAACTCCACGAACCTTGGAATGCCTGAGAAAGGTGTGTGAAATATTCATTGTTAGCATACACTCTCACGTTTGTTTGTTTGTTTGAGTAAGGAGAAGCACATCGACACAATAACGGTCCTTTAGTTCTGGGGATAAAGTAAGACAGACAGAGAAAAACGATAGAGGGAAAGTAAAGGACCCACCAGTGGCGCCCTACAACCACTCGCATATACACTCTCACAAACATTTAAGACACAGAGACATGGAGAACAGGAAACTAAAAATGACAGGTTCAGAACTGACAGCTGCACAATTGTGTCATTCCCTGTTTTTCAAACACTTCATTCTTACACATCACTTTGTAAATCTGGATTTTCAGAGATCAGAGGTGTGCAAATAAATGAGAAGCACATGACCACGGAGTAAAATATAAAAAAATAATCAGTAACATTTTTTTTCTGTAGTTTCACAGCTCTGCCAAGAGGCCCCCCCCCCCCCCCCCCCGTCTTACTGAAATGGGCTAGGATACTTTAAAAAAACCTTTTAGTATTGACCAAAAAAGAGAAAATGACACAAAAAAATAACCTACATCTAAAATGCTCACGCCGCCACTCATACTCTTCGTTACTTGTTTCTTTTCAAACTGTACAAATAATATTAAATTCCTAACAGACTCTAGAACTGCACAAGCTCAATTTGTATAAGACGTTATCGATTTCTCCGTTCAAAAATCAAATCAAGCAGAAAGACCAAAAAAAAAGGAGTAAGAAGAAATATAAAGCTGAAGCAAAAGATTCTATTTCAAACTGAACTCCATGCAAGGCGTGTTCGAATCTTGAAAGAACTCTTTTGACCTCATCATATATTTGTAGCTAATTTCCGTACCTTTTTGCCGAATGACCTTGTACGTTTGTCTGGTATCCTGACACAAGCGCATCAGAGCAATGGCGGCCTTCTGCTGGACCCGCTCACAGGCCGACCGCTCGGCCGTGCTGGACACCAGCGAGGGCTTTTGGTGGAGGAAGGTGACCAAGAGGTCAAGGCCACCACAACACCGGACACTCTCTTGACACGTAGGAATGGCTGCCATGTTAGCTAATATAGTAGCCACCTTGAAAATGGGGTGAAAAAGAAAAAAAGAAAACAACACATCTTTTACTTACCTCTAAGGAAAATTAAGACTACAACGACAATTTCTATATTATAATGCATGCATAAACTTAGCGTCACATAATATCAAACAGCAGACCCCAACAAGTAACTTCACAAACACATCATTCCTGGTCACCACAGGGCAACACCTGTCTCTGTGCCAAGTCTACTGTGTCCCCTCCTCAAGAACACACCCCAAGAGCAACATGCAATCAAGTGACATGCTGCAAGGTATAGGAGGAACAATACAATTTTCTTGAACCCCTGAAATTGGAAATTCCCAAACACCCCCAAAATCTATTTCCCTTTTTAAAAGGTGCATTTATCTCCCAGACTAAATGTTGTATGTACAGTGATAAAAATGAGGGAGTTATTCATCGATAAAATATATGCTGGAAATAAGCGTCACTTGGGTTGGAAGGAAGTAAAGGTTGAATCTCCACATGATTGTCAATTGTGGCGAGTGAGTAATTCATCGTATTACGACATTACAATCCACTCACTTGGTCTTTGGCAAACAAGGACTTGGCTTTGCGGCACATGCAAGCTTTCACCAACAGCTGGGGTGCCTTCAGCTCCTGCAACATGGTGCACGCCGAGGAGTCGATGAAAGTGATGTTGGCCATTGCTGCCGCTGACAAAAGGAATGTTTCATGGCCGTCTGTTCTCTCGCACAAATCTAAAACAAGATAAAACGAACATTTGTTTGCACATAAAAAGCATAAACTTTGAGAAATGAGAAGCACTTCAACATGAAAACAGTCGTTCAGTGCATGAAAAATACAAGACGGACAGACAGACAGAACCAGAGGGATAGATGAAGTATGAACTACAGTAGTAGCCCTCCCACTATCTGCAAAACCTAAACACACAGAGAATTAGTCATGGGGGGGAAAGAAAAAACCACAAAAGATAAAATTAAACCGGACCTTCCACAACAGAATTATACAAGTTTAACTGAGCAATAAAAAGGTCCTAAGAGGTTTAAAGAAAAAAAGAAAAAAAGAAAAAAAACCCAGCAATATAAAAAAACCCCCGAAAATTTCAGGGGGCAACACATACCACAGACACATTCAACAAAACAGTATCAAAAACAGATGAAAATAGTTAATTGAGGGAATCATTCTAGAATTCATGTGATCACCAAGTCGTAGTGTACTGCCAGTTCTGTGGCATGCTCGACTTTTGTACACAGTTTTCCTTGAAAGACGTAATCTCAGACGTTCATGGTTTGTGACTGCCATGGTCAATACGATTGTTGGTGAGCTGACTCTGCCTGAATTACAACCCAATTTGAAGCTCAAAGACACATTTGGTGCAAATGTCGTTTTTTTTCATTATCACTCGATATATTTGGATTTGCAAGACTTGATACAAGAGGAATTCCAAGCAACCTTTTCAGACAAAAAAATAAAACCTAACCGAATTTCAGACTTGCAAGATTTGTGACTGCTACCATAGATCATGATATCATGTATGAATAGTATAAGGTTTTACGGCGCTCGCAACTGCTAAGGTCATATGAGCGCGCGAAACACAAGTTGTTCACCTTTGCAAAAGTTCACTTCACGACTGGTTAACTAATTTACTTTAAAATGCTAAAAAGTTAAAATATTTAAATTCGGTGTAAATACATTTGTGGTTTAAAACAACTCTTTTAAGTAACAATAAAAATTTTTAATAATATCAAATTCACTCTACAACTCGTCATAAAGGCCAATGGCCTTTATAAAATTTTAAATTCTGCTGGGAACAACGACGGAAAAAATATCCTGCAATTTCTTGCATTTATAATATTTCCTTCGGATCTCTCCAAAGTCTAGACATTCTGTTAAAATGTGTCTAATGGTAAAATCTGTGTTGCATCTGACACAGAACGGCTTCTCATCTCCCTGTAGGAGATATTTGTGGGTCAGGGCCGTGTGTCCGATGCGCAATCGAGTAAAAATGACTTCGTCTCTTCTGGAGAGGTCCGAAGGATTTCGCTGTTTTAGTTTGGGTTTTATTTCGTATAGTTTATTATTTTTCTGGTTTTCCCAGTGGCTCTCCCACAGACTGGAGGAGTACTTTTTGACTTTATTTCTAAAGTCAGTCTGTGGGAGAGTGTTTGTCGTTGATCCCAGCAGAAGGGATGAAGCTTTCTTCGCCAGTTCGTCTACCTGCTCGTTTCCTCGGATGCCCACATGGCTGGGTATCCATGCGAACATGATGTTTTTTCCTGTTTCGGATAGTGTATGAATTTTCTGTTGTAGCCCAACTATTTTTGGGTGTAAGAGTGTGTAGTTTGTGAGTGAGGTGATGCAAGACAGAGAGTCAGAAAGGATAAGGAAAGATTTGTTAGGAGAATTTTCTACAGAGTCCAGTGCCATGTCAATGGCAGTGGCCTCCGCAGTGAAAATGGAGGCTTCAGGATGGAGTCTCCTCTGGTGTGTATTGTTGGGAGATAGGGCTGCGGCGCCCACTTCATTGTCTTTTTTGGAGCCATCCGTGAAGATGAGCTCCGCACCGGGGTATTTATCTATTAGTTTTTTGTATTCTGCTTTAAAAGTTTTGGTGTTTGTGCTTTCTTTGTTGTGTGTGGTCAGCTGTAAATCTACTTTTGCCTTGGTGAGGTGCCACGGAGGGAGGTTGGGGAAAAGAATTTGTTGGATGTCTTGTTTGGAAAAGTGTAAGTTTTTGAGGTCCTCAAAGATTCTGAGGCCGAAAGGTTTGATGAGTTTTTCGTTGTTTTGGAATCTGTTTATGGTTTCTGGATTTGTTTGAAAAATGCTGTTGTGCGCTGGATTTTCCGGTGTTGAGCTCTGTTTAACTGCGTATTGTAGTGAGAGTTGTGTGCGTCTGAGTGAGAGTGGTGGTATGTTGGCCTCGGCCTGGAGGCTCTCCACCGGAGAAGTGCGGAAAGCCCCCAGAGCGAGACGGAGTCCTCGGTTTTGTATTGGATCTAGTATTTTTATCATGATATCATGGATCATAACACTTCAATAAATAGACAGATGGAAGTGGAGGTCCATGATCGCCCACGCCAGTCGGCAAGGCACCGGATGATGATGACCATAGATTACACTGCTTGCAAAGGATGGGAACAACAGACAGTTTGACAAATGTTTTCCCATCGACCTCATAGTCTTTTATAGAGACAGTTTATAATGATCACTCTATGACAGGCATATACTTACTTTACTTCTCCTATCCAGCGGCCATCTGGGTACTAAGCCCTTCAGCCTGTTGATATGACAAAGAATTTCAGGGTATTTATCAGCTGTGTTTTGTCGCTGTATAAAGTATTTACGATATCTCGGGAGGCAGATAGGTAGGTGCTACGCAGGTCGCTAAGTGCACGGTAGGATGACGGGCACATACTGCCAGCGGTTGTCATACCTAACAGAGCGGTGAGCACAACCTGCAGGCAGTCTGCCAGGTGGCACAGCTGGTGGTTCTGGTCCAGCACCGGGGACGTGATCTGAGCGATGACCCCGGCCGCCTCGCCCTGCACCGACTCGGGCACCGCCATGTCCATCAGAATGTCCAGCAGGAGGTCAATGCCGTGCTCCTGGAGGAGGAGACAGTTTATAAATAGAGAACAGTGCATCAACGAGAGGAAGAGAGAGTTTGTTAGTGGAGAACAGTGCACCAACGAGAGGAAGAGACGGTTTGTTAGTGGAGAACAGAGCACCAACGAGAGGAAGAGACAGTTTGTAAGTAGAGAACAGTGCATCAACGTGAGGAAGAGACAGTTTGTAAGTAGAGAACAGTGCATCAACGTGAGGAAGAGACAGTTTGTAAGTAGAGAACAGTGCATCAACGAGAGGAAGAGACAGTTTGTTAGTGGAGAACAGTGCATCAACGTGAGGAAGAGACAGTTCGTTAGTGGAGAACAGTGCATCAACATGGCCACAGTCAATGTCATGCTCATGGAGGAGGAGACAATGTATCAACGTCAAGAGACAGTTTATAAATTAAGAGAAGAGCATAAACGTGGCAACAGTGAAAGCTGAGTTCCTGGAGGAAGAGACAGTTTGTTAGTAGAGAACATAGCATCAACGTGAGGAAGAGACAGTTCGTTAGTAGTGAACAGTGCATCAATGTGAGAAAGAGACAGTTCGTTAGTAGAGAACAGTGCATCAACGAGAGGAAGAGACAGTTTGTTAGTAGAGAACAGTGCATCAACGAGAGGAAGAGACAGTTTGTTAGTAGTGAACAGTGCATCAACGTGACTGCAGTCAATGTCATGTTCCTGGACAAACAGTTTATAAACAGAGTATAGTGCATCAAAGTTGCAACAGTCAAAGCCGTATTCCTGGGGGAAGAGACAGTTAGTAGAGAACAGTGCATCAACATGACAACTGTCAATGTCATGTTGCGACCTCAGTGCCTTTTTGTCGTATCTCCATTTTTTCAAACAGTGAAAATGTGACTTAAATGGAGATACGACAAGAAGTCAATGAAGTCGTGATGTTTCCGGACAAACAGTTTATAAAAAAAGAGAGGAGCATCAACGTGGCAACTGCATAAAGTCATATGAGCGCCAAGGGGTGGATGTCAACAGAGAAGTCCTTACAGGGAATCAGGCTTACTCTGCTCACCTCTCTAGCTTCAACAGCACAAAGTCTGCTTCGACAAACAAGGCACCCCAGAAATAGCGGGTCACAAGAGAGTGACAAACATACAAAAGAAGTACAGCAAAATGACAATAGTGAGGATAAGGAAAGAAAAAGCAGGAGTTCCCCCAAAGTTGATCGGGGCACAACATGAGCATGACATTGATAAATCAGCCCATTTACAATTCTACTGTGCATAAGAACATGTTAATATCCCCCCTTTGGGAATGGCCTAAAGACACTTCAGTCAGCAGCACCGCTCCTGGAGGTCGCCTGATTTCACCACGCTGCCCCACATATACATTTACAAGAAGGAACTGTGTATCTCTAATACAGCAGATGATTTGTCATCCCCACACAGCACAGTGACTCTCCCACCTTCTCCAGCTCAGTGACACACTCCGGGGCGCAGCAGATGGTGGCCAGGCCCCTCAGAGCTTTGGAGCGGGTGAAGGCCACGTTCTCCCGACGACACACGTCTGCCAGGCTTCTCACAGCTCCTTCCTGGCAAACACAAGAAGAAATCCGTGAGAGAGAACAAAGTACTTCAAAACATCGTCGCCTCAAAACTATTTTGTCCAAAGTGCCCTCTTTACTTAAGTACACTTTGGACAAATAGTTCTGAGGTGATGACATGTCTGCATAGTTTCTACTTACACAAAAGAATCCAGTCCATGTTCATAATTATAACAACACATCTAAAATACATGCTGAGCCTTCAAAAACACCGAATCAAATAAGAATGAACATTAAAACACATGTAACTGAATTGACATGTTATACAAAGATCAACATGGCATTCTCAAAGAAATATAAACGTTCCTCGAAATAATTATCAACTAATACGTCGTTTAAGTTGTATATTGTTTATTCTCATTCCTGTCTTGAGAACTTTCATAAGCTGAAACGGTAAAATACTTCTGTCTCTGACTCCATGACACTTAGTTCACATCATAATTTTTTGTTTTTCCTTCCTAAAATTTTTTCACAAAACGCCATCATCCTCTTGTACTTGTAATGGAAAAAAAAGCATGCTCCTCATATCTGAGAAACACAGAAAACGGTGAGCATTCCTGTGACCTTTCACCCCACAAAACAATAGCATAACACCTACCATCCGAGCAAACACCACAATTGAAGACAACAGGGGAAGAATGACGGTAGTCACAAACTGGAAATCGTGAGTGAACCAACTCGTTGACTCATAACTGTATTTCTGCTGAACTGTTGGTTGATTATTGTTGTTAGATTTCCCATTCAACAACACTTAACAATAGACCACCAGTCAAACAAATATAAAGTTATGAGTCCACAAGCTTCTAAAAAGGACACCCTCACAATTTCCAGTTTGTGACTACTGTCCTTTTCCCCCTGAGCTCTTCAATTATGATCCCAGCGTAGTAAGTATCAGAGCAGAAGCAAAGAGAGCTCATTGAGCGACCTACCCGCGCCAGCATGTAGCACATGTGCTCTCCCTCCAGGCCCAGCGTGATGATGTTGTTGATGACCACGTGCAGGGAGGACACACTCGTGCACGCCTCCATCATGCTCACAATTTGCTGCCACAGGAACAAGAAACCACAGAAATCAACATGTGGACCACAGGGGTCACCTCTTTAAACGAGGAAGATAACATGGAAAGCTCTAACACAAACAAATCACAAATGTAACATTCAGTGCATCAAACGAAAATTCAGAAATTTCTTCATAAGACTGCGGTGGAACCTGTTTCGACAGCCACCAGTCCATGACAATCACCTGGACAAATGACTACTTCCTACTCCCCCCTTGCGTTTTAAAATTTTATAAAGACACTGTCCAAGACATCCACCTGTCTAAGACAATCATTTTTCTCCTCGACAACGGCGACGAGACCAGGACTGGAACCAAAGCACACTAGCACAATGTCGTTTATATACACCCCTCACTTCTGAGCCCAGGCCCAGAAATATGCCTTCATTGTTGAGGTTTTCAACAAAAGTGTAACACAACTGAAAGTTTTACGGGAAAAAATCTATAAACACCTAAATCAACAGAAATATGCACACAGCTTTCAGGGTGTGCCTGGCTTTGAATCATCCCATGCACATGCATACATGATCAGACATGCAAATGAGGAAATTGGCCCATGTCAGCCATTGTAAATTACAGCATTACAAAAAAACTGTGATACATGTTTTAAACAAGAAAGAATGCTACACTTTAACTGTGCTTATTTGTGACATGAGGCAAACAGGAAGATGTGAAGACAATCTGGAACACGAAATACTTCATGCAGATTTGTGGTGCTATTGTGAGGAATCACAAATCAAGCAAAAAGGAACAACCACATTCCACGTTAAGGCCCAAAAAGAACAACGAAACTGAAAGAAGACCAGCAATCTTTGGACAAGTGTACATTAGTTGCAAAGTCCAGGCTATTCCAATCTTCGCCTTTCTCCTCTCTCTTTCTTTGCCTCAAATTGTCTGGGTCTTCAAGTCTTGAAGTCAAAGAAATTTCCACAACCACTTCTTTCAAAGTCATGACTTGCATTTCTACTGCTCAGGGTAAGACACTGTCCAAAGTCACATTTGCGAAGGGTGCTAACAAAATGAGTTACTTCTACTTCTAACAGCTGGGACACTGTGCTATGTTTCCATGCTATGAGAGACAGAGAATAATGGTCATCAATACTTCAGACCAGGCAGGAAGGATAAAAGACGAGGGGAAACAAGCTACTGTTCTCAATACCATGATCCAAGAAAAAACAACTCAAAAATTATACGAGGCAACACAAGCTTCCCTGAGTACAGGGAAATTACCATATTCAATTGCAAAGCTTGTTCAACTTAAAGTATAGAATTTTAATCTAAATTGTATACATTCCCTCATTCCGATATGAGTCAGCCATCTTGATCAAATTTGATTAGTCTTCACCTTAAAATACACCCATTAACCTTGACAGAGAGCTCCTTCAAAGAAATGTCAACATTTTGTGCAACAAAAAGATGTTGGTAAAAGTAAAACATGCTTGACTCAGTGTGTTAATCCAGGGTCACCACAAACAGGGGTCACAGTGCCGCTGCAGCTATGTTTTACAGGGGCAGGAAACAGTGGGCAGTGATCATCATAATGCGTGAAGACATCGGCCCTTCTTTAGTGCAAAGACACCGGTCCTTCTTTAATGCAAAGACACCGGTCATACTTAATTTTACTAAAAACGTCACAACCAACAAGAACAAAATGCTAAAAAGGAGTGCGAAAAGGAAACAATCACACCGATGTCACAGAAAACTAACGAGTGACAAAGACGAACGGTGAGAAGAGACGACTACCTTGACGAGATATCCCAGGGTGGAGTCCACGAGGCGGCTGAAGGACTGACCCAGGAACGTCAGCTGATTCACCAGAGGCACCTTGTGGACTACATTCTTATCAGCAGCGCTGGGGAAAAAACAAACAAACAAAACTTATATCATTTCCTGTGTCTAAATACACTTGTCCATTTTCAGGCCAAGAAATATAAGCAAGAAGCACGACTGTACCTCTCAAAAACGAAATATTCTGTGCTTAGGACAAAAATCTGCCTCTTTCCAAAATATTAAATCTGAAAATGCAACTAATACAGGCAAGTTCTGTTTTATCAGTTTGATAAATCAAATGAGAGGAGAGACTGACTCAGTAGTGACAAAACAAAATATCAAAACACAAAAACAAAAGTAGAGAGAGCAAAATGACAAAATGTTCTAACTGACTAAATATATCATTAGAAAAATGAGCAGTAACACACGACCAGTGGCCTATGAGAACAAACCCCAACCAAAAAATATATATACATTCCGGCACAGATAATATAAAATGAATTCAGAAAACTCGAAATTACAGACAACTCATACAATTTGCCATTCCCCAATTGACATCTCTGCAATTTTCCGTATCGGTTAACTCAAATTATGATATGTCAAACACATTTTTTAGTCCCTAACATGTTAAAGTTAACTGTGTCTCATAAAGTAAATGTATCAAATAATCCAGGAACAGAACAAAATCATTATCTAATTATACAGTGGTAACTACAAAATTATACTGACGAAAAAGGGAAAGCCCTCATGTCATATGGCTAGATTGAAAACGAGAAGAAAGGAGAAGAAGAAGAGGTCTCACCTGGCTGTATGCTGGAGCAGCTTAGCCGACTCTCCCATCACAACCTCTTGTTGCTGGGGACAAAGGGGGAGATTATGGCAGGTTATTTTGGTGTGTACTGTGGTTAGGGGAAAGGGGGGGGGGGGGGGGAGAAAGAGACAGAGATAGAAACAGACAGACAACTAAAATTTTTAGAGCAGCATTCAAATCAGTCAAAGACGATAAGCCCTTCCAAACATTGAACAAGAGTGCAGCATCAACATCATCAAATCAGTGTAGCACACAATTTGCAAGTAAGTTCCAAACTGAGGGGGGACTCAAGTTTACTTTTACCATTTTTCCTCCTTGGCAACAACAACAACAACAACAAAAAAAAAGAAAAGAAAAGAAAAGATTTTTTTTTAAAGAAAAGAAAATTATGAATTCATAAAAATTCAACTATAACAAAGCACATCCTCATCCTCCTACACATGACACGACAATAAGACAAACCTCTTGTATAAACGAAGGCACTTCCGCCACGTGGGAGTTGCACAGCTGGATGAGTTTGCGGATGCTGCAGGTCACACCCATGGTCTCTGTGTTGAGGGTGGACCATTTGTTGTTGTCGAAACACCTGCAACACACACGCAAAGTGACAATTTACAAACAGCTTTTACAAAGTTATACTTAACTTACACAAGCTTGATAGACAACTTGAATGATTTTTTTTTGGTGAGATTTTTAAGGCACCAGCAACACAATTAGGTCATATAAGTGCTGAAGATTAGAGGTGTTACAAGGGAGTAACAAACAAAAAAAAGGAAGGAGGGGAGATAAAGATGTAACTCATTTGTATATATTTTTTATTTACAAGGAACTGATACAAAATAGCTCTTAAAAAGATGTACTTGACTTGCCAAGACTTGATGTACAACTCATAAAAAGTCTAAAAAGATTACAAGAACAGGGAGTTTACCACAATAATAGACAAATAGAAGAGAAACCAAAAAAAACAAGATCATTTAAGTTTAGTACCAAAGATTGGACTTGCTACGAGAGCAGAGTAACACACAAAGAAAAGAAGGAGGGATGAAAACAATAGATGTTTGACAAGAAGGAAGGAGTAAGCTACACCAGAGCACCCACCAACCATTCATCCACAGAGGATAGAACACACTTGGGTGAAACGAACGCACAAAAAGAACCAGCAGATGACACCTGAGCACCCACCAAACATCCACTGTCGTATAGATACAACACACATAGAGAAGTCTCAACCTAATCTTATCCCAAAATGCACACCAAAGCTAATAACAGCGAAACAGACCACATAGGGAAAAACAATTGACCATTAAAGATTCAAGATATTTTATATCTCAGGCACAAGTCGGCTGCACATGTAAAATGGGATCGGAAGACACAAATGAAAAACTCATTTCTTTTATTGTTTGTGTAAGTTTTACAGCATTTGTAACACAATAATGTCATATATAAGTCCCAAAGATTAGAAGTGTTACAAGAGAGCAACAAAAAAAACCAAAAAAAAAGGGAAGAGAGATAATGATAATAAATATTTGGTAGGAAAGAAGCAGTAAGCCACACTAGAACACCCACCAACCAAAACTCATCACAAAGCAAAGTCGAATAACAAAAAAGACATAACGTGACTGAAGGAGTACTCACTTGAACAAAGAGTTGAATCCTTCTGTGATTTTGTTCGACTCAAATTTCACACGGTCAATAGCATCTACAGACAAAAAATTATTTTTTTTAAAAATCATCTTACAACAAGATTTTATGGAATCGACTGCACCAGATAAACAGGCAATAGCATTTTTAACCCTTGCAACATCAGATTATTTCATGCCCTCCCTTCCCTCTGTCCCAATACATACTGGAGTCCTTGACTCCTCGGGGCTGGCCAAAACTGAACGTGGTTACAATTCTTTAGCAGACATTTTTAAAAATTCTATATAATATATTGTTTTTCTTTGAGGAAGTTTTAAAAGATAACATGTAGAATTTTTTTTTCAAAGACAACTGGATAGAATACAGAAAAAAAAAATGTGACTGAATTCGGGGAGGGCAGCGCCCTGTGACAGAAATATTTGCAACTGGGTCAGGAGGACGAGAACAGATACATGAATGGGGCAGTCAGAGTTAACCTATCCCCTGATTGCTTTCAGTGAGACTATTCCTCCCAGTGTTTACTGTACTGAAATAATGCATCCTTTCTTTGTGTGTGTGGGTGGGGGGGGGTTGTTTCTGCAGAAGCAGCATCTCGTATTTATACAGTCTTTTTAATAAAAAATCAAATATGTAGAACTGAAGTAACAAAGATGTCAATTGAGATGTTACTTCAGTCTGTTACACAAAATGTAGATATATAAACTGGAACAAATGCAATTGCCTTAATATCAAAACAATCCCCGTCTGTGATGTGACAGTGAGACTCTGTCCTACTCACTGCATGCAGGAGAGATGAGTTCAAGCCCAGAGTGGGGGAGTTATTATTTAATATCCCCTTCTGTTTACAGAGAAGACATTTTCCATTCAACTTGAACTGGCTTGACAGACAAGGTTGAAGTATCCCACCACCTAAATCAGCTAAACTGTGCCGATTTGGGGGCGTAAACTTTTAAAACAACAAAAATATAAAAACAAAACAATGAAAACAGCAAACCACCTCTGTTTAACAAGTGAAAGTGAAGAACACAATATATAAGACATTAAAAACTACATCAAGAAAAGAACATGCCTAACAGCCAGAAAGCACAACAATATCAGCCTTGTTTACTCAAATTTTCTTCGCCCCTGAAAATGATGTACAAAGAAAGCTTCCTGGTCATCCAACATGTTAATATGATCATGTTATCGCCTCAAAACTATTTTGTCCAACGTGTATTTAAGTAAAGAGTGCACCTTGGACAAAATGTGAGGTGTGCTGACAAAACAAGTTACTTCTGGGAAACCTAAAATGGAGATGCCCGCCAAAAATTGACACTCGGGTCAGAGTTATAGATTTCCAATTGATGCTATTTTGTTCAAGTCTACCGCTTCTTTTATGATTCCATACATACAAATCGTACAAACTCCACTTGTTAAGTAGAAGTATCAATTTCCATGGGGATAAGATCCGAGAAGTAACTCATTTTATCAGCACACCTCACAAATGGTTCTGAGATGACGATGTGTTAACGTCACCGCACGGGGCACCCACAGCACCAACAGCTCACCTCGAAAAGCCTGAACCTGGAAGGCGGTATTGTCCTGCTCCGCCGAGCCATCTAGAGGTTTCCCTTGCAGAATGCTCATGCACTCCAGCTCTGTCATCCAACGCAACTCTCTCACCCAGGCATTGACGGACGGAAAGTCACCCAGCTCACTAAATCTGCGGTGAGAGGAAAACCAAAGCTGACAATAAACATCAAGAACTGGGACCACATCTGAAGACAAATGATCAACAGCATCAATGTTACAGAGTCAATGAGCGTACGGAATACTCTACAACCTTCCAGAAACTCCGAACAAAGGTAAATGCAACATCACTCTTGAAAAGAACAACTCTAGACTTTTTTTTCCTGAAACAAAGAATCTATTCTGAGTTTGACTTTCACCTAACAGAAACACTCGACCCCTAAAACAGAATGTCTAAATACACATTCTGTGTGAGCCATAACATATTCATATAAAACTTTTTACATAACAAATAAAGTGGCGAAAGACCTTTCAGTTTGTTAGTGTTTGAGCCCTTAATCAGCTGCTTGCACTGCATGCTTCCCGAGAAGCTGAGAATGTTTCTGAGTGTTCTATGGTCTGCTGGGGTAATAATATAGTGTAAAGCACAAAAAGCTTGCCGTTGAGCGGGGTTATGCGCTATTCAAATGCTATAAATATTATTTATTATTACTACGTTATATATACAATACAACAAACAAGAAATGAAAGACAACAAAGTTCACACTTCAGAACCAAACCAAGTAAGGACGATGAATAAACTCAGTACTTCAAGCAATATAAGTGAGAATTTTCAATTGTTACAAAATGTTTTCCTCACCCAGCAGACTCCTTCGTCTTTTTCGGCTCAGTCTTTGCTGCTGCCATAACTGTGTCTTCTTGTCGGGTTGATGGAGGATCTTCACCTGCAAACAGTTCAACAAATTTTCAGTTTTTTTATCTCTACAAAAAGAAAAACAATTACAAAGTCATATTACTGATTACAGATCACCCAAGAGAGAAACTGGTCATGTAAGCAAAAGACAATTGGCAGTACTACTGACATAGTGTCACACGGTATAGAGATTATAGACAAAATTCCTCCCAAAGTCTTAAACTGACCTTCGAAATAATTTTGCTATCTTTTCCTCTGTACTACTCCTCCACTCCGAGGAGGAAACAAGAACTTAAATTACATTCAACTTTTTAAACATTTTCATTGATTTGAAAAAAGCGATATTTCTCCCATGATCAAGTTGACAATCAAACAGAACAAGACTTGACATATTGTTGTATAATTCAGCTACTCAAATGAAGTGGGGCATGAAACTTTGGGGAAGTGAACTTAAGTAGAGACAAAAACTGCATTATTGTATAAAAAGTTTGAGCTTCAGAAAATGATTTTTTCAAAGCTCAAACTCTTTAAACACACTTTTCGTCTTTGCCAAAAAATGCCAACATAAAGACTTGCCAGTGAGGCATATAAAGCCTTTATTTATAGTAAAACTACAGAAAATCAGGAAGAAAAATATTTGGGAAGTGTGAACGTACCTGTCCTTAGTCTAAGGCAGGAAGTCTGACACCAATCAACTGCCCATCGTAAAGGATATCATTTGTCCAAGTTGTTGCACTGACTCAACAGTAGACAACAGTAGAGAGAAGACAGTCGTGTTGTGGGTGTCCAAGTTCTTGCACTGACTCAACAGTAGAGTGAAGACAGTCGTGTGTTGGCCGGAAAACATAACCAGCACAGCTCTTCAGCCAGAATTTAAAACGTCCTTCAATAAATCACAGGAATCAGAGGGAAGTGATCTGTCCTAAACCTGTCGAAAAAAAATTGATGATAAGTAAATTGACAAGAATTTAGAATAGACAGGTCCATACACACATTAGAGGATTCTTAGGTCTTGTAAGAGTTTGACAGTTTTATTATAATCTTTAACATGTAAACCACTGCAAGGGCAACCCAAAACTAATTATAATTTACTCCTCTGAATCTTAAACTGTAGAAGTTCCAGTTCTTAGAACACCCTACTTTGACTTTGAAAAAGCCCTCTTAAACAAAGTGAATTGCAACAAAATGCTCAAGTCCTTTAGCTCAATGTGCATGCATGGTCATTTTCTCTAGCTCTACAACAATTGGAATAAAAAGTAAAAAAAGACACCACAGATTCTATGTCACAGCATTCCAAGTCAAAATTTCAAGTGTGGAACTTCGTAAGCAAAATCATAAAAGATCATGAAAAAAGGCTCATATTTTTTCTCCAATTCCAATATTAAAATAAATAAATAATTAAAATATATGTTGCCACAAAGTTTGTTTACACTTTGCAGCCACACAATCAGCAGGACAAAAAAAACCCATCTGGTCACCCAGCCAGGAGAATGACTGCAACAGACTTCTCGGACCTGGCGCAGAACGGTGCCAGGAGACTGGAACATATAATTTATTTTCACCAGTGCACTATGGCGCCAAGTGACCACAAAGTGTTAAAAAGATAACAAACTACTGACATTAAAATGTCAACATGCGATTAAACGTAGAAGGACGCAAACTATTTTTAGGTAAGGCGGCCATTTTATGTGATGTCAGACAGGAACACCCCTCCGATCATGAGGCTATATGTAAATATATATATAGCCAACGGGATGGCACGACCGGATACCACGCTTAGGTGCGATGTTTTTCCAGGAATACCGGCAATGTAATATGATGCGGTGCTCCGATGATGAATCTCTTTCATACGGTAGATCTAGAGGTAACGTTCAAAGAATGAATTCAATAGCCGCAGTGAACCGGAAAATTAGGAAGCTCAAACCCGTCAATTTCTCAAAGAAAAGGAAATTGTTGACATTCGTACGATGTCAATACTGGAATTATGAAATGTAATATTAACATACCGGAAACACGTCATTCTATGCGGTACCTCCACAGCCTTCTTAAAATAGTCTGTGGGTATCCCAGATGACATCACATTACTAAAATTAGCAGCCAATCAGAAAGATGCTTCTTCTACGTTTAACGGCATGTCAAAATGTCCCCTACAATCAGCAAAAGATTACAAAAGACAAGGGGTTAGCCCTCACACACCAACCCTCACTGACAATGTCTTTTAAATTCTTTTACTTTCCTAATCTACCTTTAGAGACTAGATCTAGGCCTAGTGTCCAACGCTAGATCATCTAGGTGCATTGGTCATGATTGGTGGGCTTGAAGATCAGATTCTGTCAGTTTATTAAAGATGTTCATCAGATTAATAAACAGATTTGTCAAACTGTAAAGACTGCAGGAGACTAAAATCTAAAAGAATCAATACCATTATTCCTGTCAATCTAGATCTAGATTCAAAAACAATACTAGATCTAGATTTCAAGATATCTAGAATCTCTAGATCAAGAATCTATACAACAATCAAACAAGAGAGATCATGATTAAGTATAGTGTCTGAAACTAAAACTAAAAAATCTCGGTCTTCGTCTCCCAAAAAAACCCACTGACACAGCACTGCAATCGAACTGAAAGGTACGATCTGGGAAGCATCTATTTCAGTATGCACAATCCCAGTTTCTCGCAGACGTAAGACAATTTGATTCATTACACATTCACCTTTGAGAAGAACCAAGACGCAAGGTCTAGAATCTAGAGATAAGATCTACACACAATCAATAGAACTTTCAGCTTCGCTCAATCAAAGACTGCTCTGCCTGCGCCCTGCGCTGCTAATAACAGTTTCCAAGATTTCCTTTCTGAAGAGCTCTCTTCATCTCACAGCGCCAGAGGAGGTGTTGAAAGAGAGTTACTTCCCACGTCTTCTGTCACTGCCAATCAGGCCAGCGCACATATTCCACGTCCCCAGATTTTGTTGGGGAGGACGGGTGTCTCTATAGTTCACAAACCTAACTAGGCCTTTGACCCAAGAAGGCCAGCCTAGGCCAAACTGTTTGAATCAAGTTTCCCTTCCAGTTATCACTGGACTGAGCAGAAGCAAAAGAAGTAACACACCCCACAATCGAAGAAACCAATCTCTCGTTTAGAAAAAAGATCTTACTCCCCCGAAAAAGAAAGTACCAGAGATGTAAATGCACATGTATGCAATTGATTGGTTTGTAAAGTTTCCATACAGAAACCTACACATCCCCCCCCCCCCAAAAAATGCTCCTCTATTTTTCTTTCAACACATTTATTCAAACGTGTCTTCTTTCGTGTGAGAGAGAGGGGGGGAGGAGAGAGAGAGCGAAGAGGAGAGAGAGAGGTAGAGAGAGAGAGAGAGAGAGAGAGAGA